TACACTAAAATCATCGCAAATATTTCTGCACAATGGCCCACTAGAAACTAATAAATAACTAGCAGATTAGACCCAGAAAAAGAGGAGAATTGAACTTATGATGTCTCTACCTATTCTTTTGTTTTTATAACTTCAAGTTGCTTGATTTATGGCTTACCTTAGTTTGAAATGAAGCTATTACTAAATGGCCCCGCAAGTAATCTAGCTTGGATAAACCTTCAGTATTTGACAGCCACGTAAGATACATTTTAATTTCATTCCACGGTTCATGATTACATTGTAAATAAAACTAGATGTTAAGTCTCGAAACAAGCTTGACTGAAGTTTTTAGTAAACTTCTGTTTCAAATTATTCAAAATAAATTTGCAAATGAACGTTGAAAAAATCGGCAACTATAGGAGGAAAAAATGTCTCTAAAGCTATATATATATATATATATATATATACAATTTTATCTAGGAAAATACAAAAAAAAATTTTTTTTTGCTTTCTTTTTTAGTTGGGATCGGTGTGGTCTCTTGTGACCAATTATGTTATTTGAATCGAGTCTTCAAATGTCGGTGGAATTTGAATTATGGTGCTGGATGGTGTCAGTGAGTACCTTTCTGCACCTAGAAAATTGGATATAATTCGATTGCTTTATATTTTGATACACTTAATCATAAGTGACAAAAATACAGCTCTATTGTTTTGCATAAACGAGTTTCGATATTCTAATTATAATTGACGAAGAAAATGTTTCGAAATATCTTTCTATATCGTAATATTTACTTTATTATGTTTGAAAAGAAAAATTTCTAAATTTTTTGTCATTTCACAGAGAAAAAAAAAATTTGGTAAAATTTCCGAACTGTTTGGCAGTTACATACTGTTTTAATACCCATATTTCCAGTATTAAAAACCAAAATATACTGTTTTTAAACCATGCATTTGCTAATTTTTTCGACCATAGGGTAACAACGGAGAATTCTGCTTTTCAAAATTATAGTTCATATTATCACACACATTTAGTAATAAATACAGAACTGAAAAGTAAATACAACCGTATAAATTATTTTTATGAAAAGCTGTATGGTATATTTAAAAAATTACCAAATTGTATCACTTAACATTTAAATTAATTTTAATCAAAATGCAAATTAATTTTACCTAATTTATTACGAAAGTGCTTCGATTGAAAATAATAAGTTTTTTGGTCTTCTCACAGAGAAAATAGTAAATTTTACCACATTCTAGTGGTTTTGACCATAATTTTTTCCACAGTTTTAAAATAATGCAGTATTTGCATTAAAGTATTTGTATGGAATTAAAAATAAACAAACCTACTGCATAAAAAATTTGGGCTTTATTGTTAAAAGTAACTTAGTAAATAATTTTCCTAACGGTATTGTAGTTCCATATACTTTCATTATTACAAAACAAAAGTATAATTTTTTTAATACATTAAAAGTCTTAAAGTCTAGATTTTCAAACTTTGTTACACATTATTGTAAATATTCTTCGGATAAGAAATTTTCTGTTGTTTAAAAAGATCCAGATATTCCCTGCCATTAATCCAACACCTCCTAGAAGAAACAAGAACTCAGCTCGGATAAATTTTGTAGTCCGACATAATGAACATAAACTGCGCAGTGGATGAAAAATAAGAAAGATGTCACTACGTTCGGACTACTAAAGGATCAAATTTGTTGTTTATGTTAGCCCGCGTTGAGACATTCTCTTTTCGATTGATCAATCATATTTTATTGTAAGACAAAAATGTTAAACAATTAACACTGACATACTTAATTGTTATTTCGAAAACCTAATTATTTCAGTTGGACTTCGTTATTTTAGTTTTCAAGAAAAGGATCTGTCAGCCAAGAACATTTCGGTTAAAAATATCTGATCACAGTACTAAGATTATTTTGTCTGATTTATAAATGCGTTATTTTCTTCAACCGATTGCTCATGATTTGTTGTTTAGACCAGAATTTTATAACATAAATCATTTCATAAGAATATTCTGTGCCTTACACTATAAAGTAAATAATGATTCATTTACGGATATCTTTATAATTTTGTGGCAACGGAGAGAAATGGTAATATCTTTTTTCGTTTTCCGTTAATGTCTATTATCTTATTAATTAATGTTAATGTCTATTATGTCCGTTAGCGTCTATTATCTATTATCTTATTGTTGTTGTTGTTTCTAATGCCACTTGCCACACCAGCAAGCCTGCTCGGTGAAACTGAACTAATTTAAGGCAGAGGGTGCGTTTCTTATTTTTCAGTGGCGCCATCTACCGCCAAGAATTAGTCTTCAGCCGCACACACGTCACACCCGTTTATAGGGCGGATGCATTCATACATTCATCCACAGATTCGTAATTTTTTACCTGGATCAGAGAACGATCGATCTCTAATCCAGTACACGGGGAGTCTTCGACCGGCGGGGTTCGAACCCACGAACTCTCGGACATTGGCCCAGAGCCCTACCGACCAGGCTATCACGGCCTACTATTATCTTATTAATTATATTAATAAAATTATGTTTAAGGTGTTAAGTCAATATATAAAAAATACTTATTATAAATTAAGAAATTAAGTAAATTAAATTATCAAATAAGTATTTTACATTTTTAGTGTATTATCAAAATTAGGTGTGAGACTTTTCATCTTTCTAAGTGTAGTAAATGTCGTCTGCTGCTGAAGTAGAAAACCGCACTGCGCAATCTCCAATCGTCCAATAAATATTTCTCGCATACGCAATGGGGTTCTAGAAGTTAACCACAAGTTAATCAAGAAGTTAACCGCATGGAGAGATCTTTTCGATGTTTTTATGTATAATAGTTTCTAACAAATTTAAGAATTATTGCATATGCAATGCATTTTTGTTGGTATATTGTAAGTCTATAAAAACGAGTTAAAAATTAAATTATACTCTATCAATATATTTTTCCTATTTCAGAAGTTCACTTGATTTGGCAAGATGTCAAATACAGGCCGCTGAAGAATGTAACACGGGATTCGCTGATGTTGCAAGAAAAGTGTTATTTCATTTAACTGAGGCATGCGATGAAAGTTCTACGTTAAAAATAGGTACATATTTTAATATTTTTAAAAATATAGTTCATGATGGAAAGAAATGGCTGATGCATTTTAACACCCTTCTATACATGCATAAAAAATAATACATACAACCGCATTTTTTCAAGAAAAATAACGAAAAATTGTATAGTTTTATAGTCTTATAGAGAGTAAATATTCGTAAAATAGTGCACGGAGAAAAACAATTACTGTACTGTATGGAAATGACATTTCTGGTAAAAATAAACATAATTCTGGATAATCGTACGTAAATATTTGGCATTTAAATGGTTTGAAAGCTTACCTAACCTAACGGTATATAATTTAAGTATTTGGCATTTTGTAACGGTTTATAGAAAACTCTGGATTTCAAAATTATAGTTCTTATTATCATGCATTAAGTGAAAAAATACGAAACTGTAAAGTAAATTTAAACAAATAAATCAATTTTATGTCATCCTCTAAGGCAGTGATTCTCAATCCTTTTTTTTTTTGTTGCGGCACACTTTTAACGACTTCGAAATTTGACGGCACACAATGAAAAAAATTAGATTAAAAGTTGTTAACAACTTTTAATTACCTATTTTACACTGTGTTAAATAGTTTGTGATAATAATTTTGAACGTGAAATAAAATAATATGTACTACAAAAGCACGTTTATTAAGATATTAATTATTTCTTTCGACTAATTTTTTTTTAGTAACAGTTATTTATTTTTTTTGCAAGTTATTAATTGTTAACTTGTTTTCTATAGTTATTAACTGTTATTTTTTTGTGATTTCCTGTTAACTAATTTTTTTGCTAATTATCAATAGTTAGCTTATTTTTTTGTTAGTTATCCTTTGTTAATTTGCTTTTAAAATTATTAATTGCATAGCTTACTTTAATGAATAGCATTTATTTCCGTTTGAAAGTTAATATTTAGCTTTCTTTCTTTTGTTAATTAATAATTTTAATAGTCATTAAATTTTCTATTTATTTCAACATTTTTTAAAATTGCCAAAGACAATTCAAACTCTTCCTTCTTATTTTAACTTATTTTAAGATTATCAGAGACAAGACAATCTCGCCGACAAAGATGTTCAGGAGATTAAAGCCTGGAAAAATTATAAAAAGTATATATATAAATATTCAAAGTACACAAAAGTGCCGCGGCACAGTGGTTGAGAATGACTGCTCTAAGGTATCATGATAAAATTGCCAAATTTTATTACATATATTATAAAACGATATTTTCTTGTTATTTTTACGAAAAATTATTACCAAAGCACTTTGAAAAAAAATTACCAAACTTTTTGATGTTCTCAAAGAATCAGAAACACGGTATATTTTACTAAATTCTGGTCGTTTTGATTATACTTTTTTTCTCAGGGCATTATGAAGAGAAAGTACATTAATTTGCAATTAAAGTTTTCAAAATAACTCGCGCAATGCAAGTGAAGTAGTCAGTCAGTATTTTAATCGACAAAAACTTAACAACATATGATAAAGCAGTAACGTTGACGAATTATTTAGAAAATTACAGCGTTTTTCAAACCAACTAATACTTGACTATGTCGAATTACAATGTGTCAAATTAATTTTAACTATAAAAGAACTATTTTAATGCGACAAAAAATTTAACTTAATTGCTGATACTTGAGCTTCAAAAGACAATAGTTGGAGCTGATAATAGACCACTATCGTGATTCTATCTTTAAAATTTGAGTGGAAAGCTATCTGTCATGCTCAAAATGACAAAGTCAGACAAGATCTATTAGACCGTTAACCCAAAATTGAGAACCAGAAAGAGAGATAGGTCTTCTCTGGAAAGACCCAAGCAGTCCAGGACGTGTTCTGCAGAGGCCTGCTGAGCTTGACATTTAGAGCAGATTACGAAGTTCTTCTGCCCGCAAAGAATGGGAGATTATTTGTGTAACCACTTGCCAATCAAGAAAATGCCGTTCGTGATACTCTGTCACAGTTTGTAAAGTGATCAATTTAAAGTTTAGAGTATTTTAGTTTAAGAGTCAAATTTAACCGTATAATATTTATGACTTTTCTTATACAAACCTATTGTAGTAATATACTAACAATTTTAAAATATTTACAACAATTAATCCTTACAATAATATTTTCGGNTTAATAAATAATAATTTATTTAACTTGCATTAAATAAAAAAAGTTAATTTTGTAATATAAAAATTGAAAAAATAGGTAAAATGAACATATTTTATATTTACATTTAAATTTAACCCATAAATTTTCTTATTAATGATAAATTTATCAATGCAGAATTAAAATAATATACTCACAGCTGTTGGGGCAGACTTAATTTTACTATAAACAAAGTTCTAAATTATATTATTATGCTTTATTAAAACTAAATACGAATGGGTAGACTCGCTCGGCGAATTCTGGCTTTTTGTTTACAACAGCAAAACTTACATTCTTTTTGTTTTTTTTTCATATAAAATTAATGTAATCTTAGTCTTAGATAAGTTTATCACTTAACCAAAGTGAAAATAGTAATAATAATAATATACTTACGGAGCACCAACTAAAAGTTTGCTGATTTTCAATACAAATCTCTCAAAAGACGTTTGAACAGGTCGGTTAAAAAGACACCAAATAAATAAAAACGGATCAAACTACTACAGCGCCATCTTCCTTAGAGTCTGAACTAAGTCCTCCGTAGGTAAAAATTTTTTTTTTGCTATTTAAAATAGTGAAAATTAAATAAAACTAAAATGGGTAGACTCGCCCCGGTTTACGGATGTTTTGATGATATTTTTCCCAGTTTTAAAACAATGCAGAATTTGTATTATAGTATTTTCATGAACTTTTTGGTGTTTTCGGTAAGCTTTATCTTATTACATTAATTTTTATCATGCTTTTTTATCAGTGTTGTCATAAATCTAGAAGCTAAATGCAAAACTTACTTAAAAGATATATTAAATGATTGACTGAAATATGAGGTTTTTAAAGTAATAATTAAAATAAAAAACAATTTGAACAATAAAAACAAAATTAAATTATAGAAATTAGAACAATGAGACTGTTCAGTAAATATTAACTATTTCATTAATTAGTTACAATTTTAGATTCAATATTTTTTTAAAAAATTTTTGCTTCGTTATTTGCTTTTTTGGAATGATTACTCTTAAAAAAAGTAAGCTAAAATAAAGTTACTGTAATGCTTTCAAATTGGAAAATAGACAGAACTAGCTAAATATAGTCATTTTTTTTATTTATTTTGAAATGCTGTAAATTCAAAAAACTGCATTGTTAATAGGAAACAAAGTTAGTCCAAAATTTTTCTTGTAATTTGATATTGCTGAAACTAAGAAATAATGCCTGCGACTACCCAGTCAATGAAGCTGCCTCAGTAATTATGTAATAGTTACTGACTCAATAGGTTTAATTAAACAGAAGTAGTTAGTTAAATGAGTATTTAGTTGTTCTTAGAGATAAGGGAAGGAAAAGAGAAAACGAATGGACAAGACAAACATAACGATAGCACAAAAATACAGACAACTGTTAGATTGATACATGATGGGTGAAATAACAACAAAAGATACGCAAGTTTTCTTATTTAACTTGATATTGCTTATCTACCCGAATATTTTCCTTTTTATAGGTTCAAAATGTATTTCCTAAAAATTAAACTGCAACCAGTTGTTAATACAACTAATAATTGATGTTTCCAAGTTACAAATTAAATCCACAATATATTGGAAATTTATATATCACACAATGTCATGCATGGAAAGTTTAAAAATCGTTAACCATATTAATTTATTATACTACATTATTAATTTATAAAAAAAAACTTTAAAATTTTTTGATTTCGAAATAATTTGTATTTATATATTTTAAACCAACATCACTCAAACATAGCACGATTTTAGTAAAATGATATGGTGAACTACTTTGCATTACCAATTCTGCATTTTTATGTTTATTAAAGATAACTAAAAATTCATTTCGATTAGAAATTCTCATGATTTTTCCGCAGAGTGAATTCTTGTCTTAAATATTATGACAAAATGCCATATTGTAGGTGAATTATTTTGACTAAGCAGTGTAACAGGGCTCGAGAATTTTCAAAATTTTTTACCTACTCTGCTGGAATACCAGAATTAAACTTTCACAAGCCCGTAAATCGTTTTTAAATGCACATTAGTGAAAAATATGAATGCATTCATTATTAAGTCAGAAGTTGTCTGCTATATATACCAATCTAACAATGATAAACAGTTAATCCCATATCTTTATTCAAAGAAACTTTTCTCCGTTGCCATAATAATAACCAGCACGCGAGTCTGGCTACGGAAGAAGCTCTCATGATAGTTGAACAGTAATGAAGCTATTATAGAGCAAATTATTTTAGATTAAGTACAAGTCTGAAATATTATCAAAAAAGAATTATTAGGCATTTATCTTGGTGAGTTTTGTTAAAAATTAAAGGGAGCTTAAACAGTTTCTTACATTGTTTCTGATTACATATTGCATACTTGCATGCCCGGTCAGACAGTTAAAAATTAAAAATAAAAACGTTTGCTAATAAAAAAATATTTTTATTAATAATAAAAAAATAAGCTTAACATTCTCCCTCTCTTTTTTCTCTACAGACTTAACAGGGTCTTGTGGATTAGGAATGTTTGAAGAGCATCCGGAATGTTTGGCTGATTACAATAAAGAATTCGGAAGACCTGGTAGATATCCATTTGATGTAATTGATAATGAAAGAATTCTATGCAAGTAAGTTACTCATTCACAGCTGAACATAAGTGTGCGCAATTTTCGTAATGTGTTCTTTTGTTGTGCAACCATATAGAAGTTAAACTCTTTGTACAACTAGAATTCCTCAGAGAGTCTATCCCCATCTGTAATCCAGCCAATTAGGAACTGCCATTTTTATAATTGTTATGAGTTTTTTTACAGTTAATCATCACTGTTAGGTTAACTTTTGCCTATCTTAAGAATGCTATCTCTGTAAAAAAATATTTTTTTGTATTTATTACTGCATTGTAAGATAAGAAATTTTTTTAAGCAAAATTGTATACGTAGTTTAAAATTAAAATTTCCATTAGAATTTAAGGCATTCAAACTGCTGCTTTTGCATCTTCATTGGTGAAAAGTTTACCGAATGCCCTTGGAATAAGTTTTTAAGAGTGCTTATTTTGACCACTACCCTGAACACTGGAATCATGTATTCTAGATTACGAATTTTGAAAATTTGAGGTGGTAACTGAATAAGTATCTTTCTGCAGAGAAGTGCGTTTTTGATGCCAAGTTCCATAATTTGAAATACCGTATTTGCTAATTGATTAGTACACCTAAGGTTTAATCTTTTGATTTTACAATTCCTTGCTAGGACTAGTAATTTTACCATTAAATTAAAAGTTACGGCTTTATTTTTAGTTTTTTTTTCGGACTGTACCGCAGTCTTCTACAGAAGCGCAATGCATTTTACTGAATTTCTTTTTGTTTTGACAATCTATTTTACTCATTTTAAATCTCGGGTTTATCAGATAAAAACGAATTTAAATTAACACAAACATTGGTTTTTGAATGTGTAGAAATACAAACAATTGTTTTTTTGAACGTGTACAGTTGTTTTTGTAAGGGTGTAGAAACACAAATGCTATTTAAACCAATATTTTAAGCATGTAAAAAAGTTAAAGTCCTCCAAAAATGATCCAGAGAAGACAAGAGAATATACGGTTTAGCAATCGACCCAAGAAAACAGACAAACTGAAACTACTTCTAAAAAATGTAAGAAAAGCAATAAAAGATAAAAGTATATTTCTCTTGAAAAATAAAGTGTGGTTTAATATTCTGTTTTGTTAGATAAAATTTAGTAATTCTTCTGTCGCTTTTCTGGACATTTTAAAAGTTAACAGCTTGTCTTTTTATAAAAGTTAATTTATTGACTCTTAAACTTTAGAACTAAATGCTGGTACAGGTTCAAATAAAACCATATTATTGCTCTATAACTAATTTCACTCCTAGGTTGTGGTCAGTTACCAGCAAAAAGAGGGCTACTGAAGAATTAAATTATTCCAGTAAAGCTATCATGGCCATAAAATGACAGGTTTTCTCCCTTAATTTTTTTGGCACAAAATATATGCCCGCTGTCAGTGAATTAATATTATGCTTGTAGAAGTTATTAGCAGTTTCAGCTTTAACGTTATTTGAGTCGCAAGTGATTTGTTTGTCGAATCGAGACAAACAATGGATTGAGCCGAACTGTAGTGCTACTATATGTCGTGGAGAGATAAAGAGTTGCATGTTCGTTGTTAAGGCACTAATATAGAGGGAATGCGAGAGAGTTGTTCTTGGCATCAGCTGGGATCGAACCAAAAACCTGTGGTTGCATAGCTAATGCTGTAAATACCTCTAAAAATGAGCATACACCCAGACCAAGAAAGTAGTACTTCTCAAGGTTTTTTTTTCTTCTCAATAAAGGGTTGTATTAATTAAGGATCAGCTCTTTTAGTTCAGTTGAAATTCTGAACAGTTGCAATCTTTTTTTAATTTTATCAAAGAAGGGTACTGGTTGTGTAAATATAAGATCAATTCCACTAATTTAACTGATGCTCGTTACATTTACGGCCGCATAAAGTAACTATCAATTTTTCCAACTTAATGGAACTTTTTTCGAGTTCATGTAAAAAAATTCAATGTTCATATTTGTTTTGTTTAATCTATTTCTTATTAATTTTTTTTATTTGTTTTAGACACACTCCCTCCATTACCAAGTGTTTTAGAAATATCATCGAAAACGAATGCACACTAAAGGAGTATTTGGCTTTCGTTAGTGTTATGGAACCCACTGCTGAATTACAAGAACGAGTCTGTGATACAATTCCAATTGATTTTTAAAATATATTGATATTGATATTGTATATTGATGTGAAATTATCGTAAACTGAAAATAAATAAATAGAAATAATATTCTTAGTGAGCACGTATTAAGCCTTATTTCCATACCTTTCACAACATGCCGATCTTTAGAGAGAAAAAAAAAATCTGAACAAAACAACATTATAAATAAAGTTTTAAATTAAAGCAACAAAGGGTTTGCTTCTTAATACCGAAAATTTAATATAATTTAATGCTTATTTACAAAATCTAAGGCTTATACTTTTGTGATACCCGATTGGAAGTCTGCCCCGTTTACTGTATTTAAATAGGGATGCCTCTATATATACACGGTGAAAAATGCGTGGAGTAACTCAACATCGAAAATCTCGTCAACTACATTGCACCAAAACGGGGGTTGTAAAACATTTAAATAATTCTTGGAATAATCAAACACCAAGAACAGTTCTTGGAGCAATTCTTGGAGTAGGGAAACAATTATGTTCTCTTATATTACTTTTGGTGCAAAGAAGTTGACACCATTTTCTTGGTATTTTATAATACTAAAATTTATGTGATGCTTTTAAGAGCCGGAAAAGTTCTTTTTTTACTTTACAATTAAAAGCAAAAAAGTTAATTTATAAATCCTAAAATAAAATTATTTTGTAAATCAAATATACACAATGTACAGATAGAGTTTTAATACGAATAAGAACTAGGCTAAAAGGATAAGACAAGAATACAAATTATATAATATAAACTCATTTAATACCATTGGGCACTTACAACTCCAGAAGAAGAATACTTCTGAAATCATTTGGATTTGCCGAATCACGTGCTTGTGCATGGTGGGTTAACGTTCCAGCTATTAAGCTTGGTTTATTTCCATGCTAAATCAATTTTTGGATCAGATTCAATTGGATACCAGCAAGCTGTGTCACGTGTGAGAGTCGGATCGGATTGGTTGCTGAATTGTGGCATAAACAAAGGCCACGATTTACCAACGTTTGATTTTGCTGACAGGTCACATGAATGAAGCAGAATTTTCATTAGTGTAGTAATTATACTGATATTTTATAAGTAATTACATATTATTTGTGTAGTAATATACGTGTAGTAATCATTACTAATTCCAAATTCACCGATCCGCACCAAATTTGATGTTAGGCATTCGCACAGTAAATCAAACTGTCTACTTTAAAACACTCTCCGACCACCGTGTGATGGCACAATTGGCATTACATGTTTATTTCCTACCTTTTAAAATATCTTTAATTACTTAAACTTATTTTATGAATCGAATTATATTTAAATTAAATCAAAGAGTTAAATCTTTTAAAGCGAGCATTCTTATCGATCAATGTAACGGCTAACTTTTTATTTCAATATTAATGCAAACTCATTAATTCACTGCCACACCTAATCTAAAACAAAAATCTATTTATAACTTTTTAATTCTTAATTTCCTTAACTCAAATATATTTCAGTTACATGGTTGTAATAATTCCCACTGTTTTGTTGGCGACTCGTGATCGCCAAAGTATTTTTAAACCCAATATTGATTATGCGGGGTTGGCTTTGTATTGACTATGTTATATTTTGATAAATCGCCAATTTTGGATCTCCTATCCATGATTCTCCTGTGCCCAAGAGGAAGATTCAAGCAA